GGTTGTGGCAAGAAGCAGTGCAGAAGCAGAATATAGGGCTATGGCGCACACCGCTTGTGAATTAGTGTGGCTAAGGAACCTTCTACAGGAAGTAGGGTACAACATTAACACTCCAATGAAGCTCTATCGTGATAATCAGGCTGCAATTCATATCTCCTCTAATCCAGTGTTTAATGAAAGAACCAAGCACATTGTGGTTGACTGTCACTTTGTGAGGGAGAAGGTGCTGAATGGAGAGTTAGACACTACACATGTTAATACAGGAAATCAGTGGGCTGACTTATTTACAAAAGGCTTGAGTCGGGGCAGAGTGGACTACATATGTAACAAGTTGGGAGTATATGATATATACTCACCAACTTGAGGGGGAGTGTTAGCTTAGGGGTATTTCTGTCTTTATACCTAGATTAATGTTGTTGATCTGTAATGTTGTGTTGGAACCAACACTCCTAACTTAAGTAAGGGCACATAGGTCTTTTCAATTATTTTTAATAATATAAATACTGCCTAGCCGACTGGGAGATGTCATGTTGAGTCTTCCAGTTCGAACCAGAATTTCTCTCCTCTCTTTCTCTCTTTCTTCCACCTTTCTCCTTCTACATAACTGATCTTAGACAGACAAAACTCTAAGGCAGAACCAAATTATAACAAGGGCCAACTAGAAACTGCGCACTCCAAAATGTCTGCACACTCCGACGTCTCTCCCTCCCCTATATTGACCCCAACTATACAACTCTTCTCAAAATTCACCTTAAGGTTTGACATTTGCTCAAAGAGTTGTATAGTGAGCTTCAGGTTTCTTATCCTATTAAGTTCCCCTCCTTCACACAAGAGTATTGTGTCATCTGCAAATTGCAAATGTGTGAGTGGCACATTCTCTCTTCCAACTCTCCAACCTCTTATCAAGTCCCTGGAGTCTGCTCTAGAAATTAGTCTCCCCAAAACTTCTGCAACCATCGTGAATAAAAAAGGGGAAAGGGGATCTCCTAGTCTTATCCCTCTCAAAGCTGGAAAGAAATCTACCAATGTCCCATTTACTAATATGGAGTAATGGCATTTTCTGATGCAGCCCATCACCCACTTACACCACCTGTTTCCGAACCCAAAGTTAGCCCATCACCCAAAGTTGGTAAATTCTAAACATGTTCAAAGATGTTAACGCCTTTATCTACAAATCATCATCATCTAAACATTTTCCTAGCTATATGGGGTTGGCTAACTTTGTTTGCAAATTTGATCAAGTTTTTAAATCCTTGCAATGTCCTTAATTTTTATCCATGAATAGATTGTACCTTGCTATTAGTTTTTATGCTTTACCCTTCTAATGGTTAACATCACCAAAATACAGAAGTTTCTTTTAAGCTCAAGCCAAAGAACCAAACTATAGTTCAGATGGTCCTCTATGGAAATGATCATCTTGTCTCTAAATTCTGAATCTCATGGAATCAAGATATTCAAGTTTTCCAAATTGAAATGAATCTGGATTCTTCCTTCTTTGAAAGTGATAAGGACTGTGGGTTGCACCTAGGGGTGGATTCGAGCTGAGCCGAGCCGAATATTTGGCTATTCGAGCTTGGCTTGCTAATAGACTATCAGGCTCGACCTCGATTCCAGCTAGAGACTTGAGCTTGAATTCGGCTCGAGTTAAAAGCTCAGAAGTTCGAGCTCGGCTTGAGCACGACAGTGAATTAAATGTTTTATAAAAATAAAAAATTATTTTTTATTTGACATAAAAAATAAGAATTACAAAAGTTAATTATTATTATATAAAAAATTAAAATTATATATATTATTTTTATATGTATATATTAATATACATATATTATTTTTATATTAATTTATATATATACATATTAATATATTATTTTATATACATATTAATATATATACATATATGTATGTATGTATAAGATTGATTAGGCTCGCGAGCCTCACGAGCCAAGCTTTACTAGGCTCGAGCTTGGCTCGACTAGCAAACAAGCCTATATAGTATATACTAGGCTTGAGTTTGGCTCGAAGCTCGGTTTAGACTGAGCTGAGTCGAGCTTGAATAGCTCATGAAAAGCTCGGCTTGTGGCCACCCCTAGTTGCACCATTTGCCCTCAGCTTCAAGTTGGTTTTCCAAATATCCTTATGTCCTCATCCTTGAGATCACAAAGAGAAATTTGTTGTTCCTTTGCCTCCTAGATGTTACTATATTATTGATATTTCCTCCTTTTTCAATCAGAATCAGCCTGCTTTGGAGAAGGACCGCTACAAAATCCGCCAAGCATTTATTGCTGCACCCGGAAACTCTCTCATTGTTGCTGACTATGGACAGGTGTTATATCAACTAGCGACATACTTTTCATGACATTTAATTATTTGATCTCATGATAGAAATATACTTTTTTTTTTAATTACAGCTGGAACTTAGGATTCTAGCACATCTTGCAAACTGTAAGAGCATGTTGGATGCCTTTAAAGCTGGAGGAGATTTCCACTCAAGGACAGCAATGAATATGTATCCACATATTCGTAAAGCAGTGGAGCAAAAACAAGTTCTGCTGGAATGGCACCCTCAAACTGGTGAAGTGAAACCACCTGTTCCTCTATTGAAGGTAAATATATGAAAAACCCCAACTTATCTAAAGAAATGGTTGGCACTAGAGCAACAAATCAATTTATTATCATAGTATGGTATAAGCAGGGTTTTATGTGTTATGCTTAAAATGTAGGAAATATATAATCAGTACGACAGTTTAAGCTACATAAGAGAGGGTGTCCTTTCACCCAAGATACAGAAAACTAAGAAGTAGAGCCCAAAGGATTACAACAATAAAGCCCACAACAACCACTGCCTATAGGCCCCCTGATTAGGTAATGTGTCATCCATCCCATTTGCAGTCCTTATCCAAGTAAATTTAGCATTTAGGTCCCCTGCTAGGTCATCACTTTGCTTGATGAGTCTTTGAAGACACGACTAATACCTGCCATTCTCGGGTTTCCCATAGAACTCCTATTTGAAGTTTAGCTTAATTTTGTTGCTTGCTTGGGGTTTCCACTCCATCACTTTTCTTTCCTTTTCTTTGGAGGAGTGTGCCACTTCATTCCATTCCCTTGCTATATCAATATAAAATTGTGGAAGAGAGAGTGTTTTTACCCAATGTGCCACCTTTACTTTTATAATTGTAGTGATACAGTGGACCAGACATGATGTTTCTTGTTTATGTGGTCCCATAAGTTCAGTCTTATTCTTATTTCTTGTCTTTATACTTGTGCTATTATAGGTAGCAGGGCATTTTTGTCCTTCTACCTAATGTTATGTTGAACATATAAATAATACTGCCTTGGGCGGCAGTAAGTGATTTTGCCCATCACTCTCTTGCTCTTCCTTTGCTCTCACTTCTCCTTCTTTCTTCCTTTTCTCTTCTTCTCTTCTTCTTCTTTGATTTCTGTTTTTATTTTGTACCCAGAAGTTCTGCTAACAGCAGTAACTTCAAGTTGGTATCAGAGCAGGTTTAGGTCTGCTCGTGAATCTCATGTAGGCTCTTCCCAGCTGGCTACATGAGAGTTTGATAGGGCTGGAGTTCTAGTTCTGTTCCTGGCCTGATTCTTGGAGATTGGTGGAGTTTGAAGCCTTGCCCAGGACGTTTCTGTTCTTGGAGTTTTCCCAGCAGTCAGGAAGAATCAGAGAAATTTTTGAGGTGAGATTTAGGGTTTAAATCTCAGTTTGAAGGTGCCGCCCAGAAATTTCTGGGTAGTTTTATTTCTCCTTAACCCTCCAAAGGACTGTTACTGAAGGGTGTTCTTTTCTGAAATCTCTGAGAGGTGCGGCTACCTTTTGGAGTTTACTGGACTGATTAGGGTTCTGAAGTTTCTCTTTTCTGAAACCTCTGAAAGGTGCGATAGTTTTTTTGGGAGTTCACTGGACTGATTAGGGTTTCTGATTACTCTGAGCAGTGTATGGACTGATTAGGGTTTCTGATTTATCTGAGCAGTGTGCTCATTTTTCTGAAGTTTTTTCCTGGACTGAATAGTTGATGTTCTTCTATTCTATCTGTTTTTGTCTTAGAAGGAGAGCTGAGTGGTTTTATTCTTCTTTGTGTTGGTTTCAGCATGGAGTTCTTTGGGGGTGAACAGAAACCTACTGGAGAGGGTGCTGAAAGGGCTGTTAGTATGACTGATAACAACCCTTTCTAGGTTACTACAATCAGATTTGATGGTTCTAACTATTTGGAGTGGTCTCAATCTACCATGATGGCAATTGGAGGAAGAGGAAAGTTAGGCTATGTGACTGGAGATACTAAGGAGCCAGCCAAGGATGACTCTTCCCATTCCAAATGGGTTCAAGAAAATTATCTTGTGATGACATGGCTGTGCAATTCGATGCAGCCCCATATTAGCAGAAATTATCTTTGGGCAAAGACTGCCAAGGATACTTGGGACAATGTGAAAGAAACTTACTCCCAGCCACTTGATGTGGCTAGGGCTTTTGAGTTGAAAATGGAAGTTAACAATCTGAAGAAGGCGGAGAAACCCGTATCAGTTTATTACTCCACTCTGAAATCCCTATGGCATGAGATAGATCACCTTGAAAAATCGAGTGGGTGAGTAATAAAGATGCAGCAACCTATAACAAGTTGGTTGAAAGGAATAGAGCTTTTGAATTTCTTGCAGGTCTGAATTCTAATATTGACATTATCAGACAACAGTTTTTCACTAGGGAAAATGTTACCTTGTCCCAAGCCTACTCTCTGGTACATAGTGAAGAGAGTAGAAGGAAGGTTACGTTTCAAAATTCTCAGACGGAAGTGGCATTAGTAGCTGCAAGACACAAGTATAGTGGTGAGAGGGAGAAAGAGATGAAGAATGAAGGAAAGAAGGGTGTGTTTTGTGAGTATTGCAAGAAACCTAGGCACATAAAAGATACCTGTTGGAAGCTTCACCCGAATCTTGTGCCGGAAAGACTTAGGAATAAGAAAGGGAATGCAAATGCTGCTGTTACATCAGATGGTTCTTCTCTTCAGGGGCCTCGATCCACTTCTTTAGAGGCCATTGCTGCAGTCAGGGCAGAATTGACTTAGTTGGAGAATGAAACCGGAATTGTAGGATCATCTCAGTCTGTCTCTACTACTACTACACCTCGTTCCTCCACATCAACATTTGCCTACTCATGTACAAGAGCCACTGTTTTTCATGCCACTACTCCAGGTAACACTAACCCTACTTGGATTATTGACTCTGGTGCATCAGATCATACGACAAGTTTGTCTTCATTATTTACTTCTTACAATTTGTCTTTAGGCAGGGATAAGGTATCCATAGCTGATGGCTCCCTTGTTCCCATTTCTGGCAAGGGAAACATCAAAATCTCTGATGCCATTACTTTATCCTCAACTTTGCATGTACCCAAGCTTAGCACTGATCTACTATTAGTCAGTAGCCTTACAAAAAGCCAAAATTGCTCAATAACCTTCTTTCTTGACCATTGTATTTTCTAGGATTTGGTAACAAGGAAGGTGATTGGGACTGGCCATGAGATGAATGAAATCTACCTGCTCGAGCACCCCCTGGAAGTGATAAAGGAGTTGCGAAGTCTTTTGTTTCTCAACCTGTGAGTCAGATTATGCTTTGGCATAATTGTTTAGGTCATTTGTCTTTTGGATCTTTGAAAAACTTGTTTCCTACTTTGTTTAAGTCAGTTCATATGTCCTTTTTGAAGTGTGAGAGTTGTGAACTTGCAAAACATTGTAGATCTTCATATTTTTTGAGTAATAAAAGAAGCAATACTCCTTTTGAAATTGTGCATATTGATGTATGGGGGCCATATCATATTCCTGCTATGGGGGGGTACAAGTATTTCTTATTGTTTGTTGATGATTACTCCCGCTTCTCATGGGTTTATCTTATGCATTCTCGAGATGAGTTTCCTACTTTAACCCGTGCCTTCTATCAAATGGTTCTCACTCAATTTGAGGTTAGAATAAAAAATTTCAGATCTGATAATGCCAAAGAATATTTCACTAAACATTTGAATTCATATCTTCTTGAGTATGGGGTTGTTCATCAGAGTACTTGTCCTCATACACCTCAGCAAAATGGGGTAGCTGAGAGGAAAAATAGGCATATCTTAGAAGTTGCAAGAAGTATTATGCTGAATTCTCATGTTCCCATTCGTTTTTGGGGGGATGCTATTAATACAGTTGTGTACTCATCAACCGAATCCCTTCCCATGTTCTGGATATGAAAACTCCTTTTTCATTGTTGTATCCTGAGAAAGATTTGTACGCTATCCCTCTTAAAGTTTTTGGGTGCACTTGTTTTGTTCAAATTCTAGGACCCCATCGTTCTAAGTTTGATCTTAAAGCTGCAAAATGTATATTCCTTGGCTATGCACAAAATCAAAAGGGATATTGTTGCTATGATCCTAGTTCTTGTTCTCGGTTTGTATCCATGGATGTTACCTTTTTTGAGGTTGTCCCCTATTACCCAGGTGTTTCTTTTCAGGGGGAGAATAATGAGAAGGATCGTCCCTGTCTTGGAGTTCCTCAACCTATCCTTATTATTGAAGGAGAGTTGTGTAATGAGGGTACTTGTTAGAGGTGTAGGGAGTTGAGAGTTTACCACAAGAGGTGGAGGCAGGTTGATTTCGGTGCTCATAACTAGTCCAGGCTAGTTCCTCTCCCCTTTGCAATTCTAGATTCAGGTACTTCTCCCTCCTTGCTTGTTGATGCATTACCCTCATCTTCTGAGCCTCTACCCCCTCTAGATGATCTTCACCTTCTCATTGCTGTCCGTAAGGGAAAGCGTTGGTGCACTTCATCTACTGCTCATTGCACATCTCAGTTTATCATCTATGATCATCTTTCACCATCCTATAGGTCCTTCTTGGCATCTATCTTTGCTATACCTATTCCTAGATCTCTACAGGAAGCTCTTGCAGTACCTGAGTGGAAGAATGCAATGGAAGAAGAGATGAGTGCTCTCATTAAAAATAAGACTTGGGAGCTAATTGACAAGCCGGAAGGAAAAAAACTAGTTGGGTGCAGGTGGGTGTTGTGAAGCATAATGCAGATGGCTCGATTGAGAGGTATAAGGCTCGGTTGGTGGCAAAGGGGTATACTCAGACTTATGGCATTGACTACCTTGAAACCTTTGCACCTGTTGCCAAGATGAATACCATTAGAGTTCTACTATCCCTTGTAGCAAATTTCTCCTGGCCTTTGTTTCAACTTGATGTCAAGAATGCTTTCCTTAATGGAGACTTGTAGGAAGAAGTGTATATGGAACTACATCCTGGTTTTTATGAAGTTGCTATAGGAAAGAAAGTTTGCAAATTGCAAAAGGCTTTATATGGTTTAAAGCAATCTCCAAGAGCCTGGTTTGATAGATTTATATTGGCTCTTGAAAGGTTTGGCTATATACAGGCCCACTCCGATCATACTCTTTTCATTAAGAGAAATGGTGCTTCTCTCACCCTTCTTGCGGTGTATGTCGATGACATTGTTGTGACTGGTTGTGATCCTGATGAGATTGATTCTCTCAAACAATTCCTTCATGAGGAATTTGAAGTGAAAGACCTTGGTGATCTACGCTATTTCTTGGGAATTGAAGTGGCCCGCTCTAGACATGGTATCTTTATTTCCCAGAGGAAATATATTCTTGATCTTCTTAAGGACACTGGGAAACTAGGGGTTAAACCTGCAGACACACCCATTGAGCTGAATCATAAGATAAGTGCTGAAGGGGGTGAGCCTCTTGAGGTTGTATTGTGATAATCAAGCTGCCATCAATATTACTCATAATCCCATCCAGCATGACAGAACTAAACATATTGAGGTTGACCGTCATTTCATCCGCGAGAAAGTTGCTTCTCAAGATGTTTGTTTTCCCTATGTCGCCTCTGATATGCAGCTTGCTGATCTCTTCACTAAAGAAGTCACCAGAGTCAAATTAGAATCAGATTTGTGCAAGTTGGGAATGATAAATATCTATTCCCAACTTGAGGGGGAGTGTAGTGATACAGTGGACTAGACATGATGTTTCTTGCTTATATGGTCCCATAAGTTCAGTCTTATTTCTTATTTCTTGTCTTTATACTTACTTACTTGTACTATTATAGGTAGCAGGGCATTTTTGTCCTTTTACCTAATGTTATGTTGAACATATAAATAATGCTGCCTTGGGCGGCAGTAAGTGATTTTGCCCTTCACTCTCTTGGTCTTCCTTTGCTCTCTCTTCTTCTTTCTTCCTTTTCTCTTCTTCTCTTCTTCTTGTCTTCCTTTTCTCCATTCACCTCACGACCACTCCCAATCGTCCTCTTTGATTCCGAATCATACAAAACACAATTACCAGGAAGGAAGGTCATTGAACAGTTCAATTTTTTTATCAAAGAGCTTACAGAAAGGAGATTAGTATGGAGTCTAGGGACATGTAAGGTAGAGGATAAAGTAATGTCATTAGTCACTCTAATAGTCCCTTTTCCAACAATGAGAATATGGGAACCATCTGCTGTAGAGACTTTATCTCTACTAGAGCACAACTGGTAAGAACTAAAAAGGGTAGATATGTTAGTCATGTGCTCAGATGCTCCTAAGTCTATAATCTAGGGAGGCTCCTCCTTACTTGAGGTGGATGCATGATTTGCAACCACATATGAACTACCTATATGAGCAAAGGAAATAGTGTGATTGACTCTTGCATTATGCTGCCCGTCTGAAGAACTAGAACTGACTGAATCCTTCTTGTTCATAAGTTGTTCATAATTCTCCAATTCAGTTCTCATTGCTGCTACTACAATGGACTCCAAATCAACTTGGGAAAGGGGTCCAGAAGAGTCTCATGTAATTTCCACATTTGCATTTCCCTTCTTGTTCTTGAACCGTGCTGGCTTGAGATGAGAGTAAAGCTTCCAACAAGTCACAGGTGTCTCCGGTATGCTTTGTCTTCTTGCAATAGTCACACGCCAAGTTCTTGTCCTCCCTCCTAGCCTCACCACTCCCCTTGTCTCCATTTGGCTTAGATTTGACTATACTAATCATAGTTGACTGATCAATCCCAGGCTGTCTCAACATGACATTGCTCCTGCTCTCCTCTTTATAGGCAAACACATAAGCCTGAGAAAGAGACACACTTTCTCTAAAAGGGTGTTGCTTAGCAATGTTGGATTCAGGGTTCAGCCCAACCAAGAACTAAAAACCCTATTCTTTTCTACCAACCATTGATAGGTTGCTGCATCCTTCATACTCTCTCAAATCACAATTTCTAAGTGGTCTATCTTCTACCAAAGAGTTTTTTAGCGTGGAGAAATACATGGCAAGAGGTCTATCTCCCTGTTTTGTACTAATCACCTGATTCCTTAACTGATAGGCTCTAGCTACATTTGTTTTTGTGAATAGGTTTCAGTCACTCCATCCCATATCTCCTTTGCAGTATTAGCCCACTAGAACTTTTTACCAATGTGAGGTAACATAGAGTTACATAGCCAGGCCATCACCATGTAATTTTCCTGTACCCACCGGGAGGGATCTGTATCATGTTTCTTCTCCTCCCCAGAGATGTACCCTAGTTTCCCACAAGCACCAATGGCCATCTTGGCTGATTGTGCCCATTCTAGGTAATTTGTACTATCAAATTTACTGTAGTAATAATTCCAGACCCAGAAATATCACTACTACCTCTAGCACCTAGACCCATGTTACCGATGGACTTCTGTTCAGTACTCCAACTCTCCATTTAGGTTCAAACAGCTCAAAACCAGGAAATAACTAGGTAGAAAGCCTCCAAGATCAAATCGATCTCACACACAAGGGTAGCCGATTTTTCCAGAAGAAGAAAACCCTATCTGGAGAGAAATCTCTCTCCTTCCACTGTCTCCCACTAGTGAGAAATATGAATCGGTCACTCCAGAGGGCTCAGAAATTCCCAGAAATCTAACCGTCCCTATAGAAGACCTAGAGAAGTCCAACAATACCTGAGCGCCCAAGATCATATCAAGATTGAAGAGTCCAACTTGACTAGGACTCTTCCCGACACTCCAGTTCTTCCTGATTTTGATGCCAATAGATCACCCTCCTGATGACTAAAAAACACCAGAAAACCAAGAACTGGGCAATCTGAAGTAGATCGATCAACCCTTTATCTTCTCATGCAATCGGCTGATCTAGGACAGCATGGAAGGACTCCAAGAAATCCTAGCTGAGCTCTGGTCACAAGTAGAAGATTGCTGAAATAAAAATCTGTAAAAGAAAAAGAATATTTCTTGAAAAAGAAAGAGAGAAGAGATTTGAGAGAAAAGAGAGCAATAATTCTGGCTGCCCTCTTCACTATTATTTATAGTTTAAAATAATAAAGAGTACAAAGACCAATATGCCCTTATAGGGTGACTAACACAAAAAACAGCATAAAACACTTAAAATAACTGTTCAAAAGGGACCCAACAAGAGTGCTGTGGTCCCTACTTCCTATCTAAACAATAAATAATCAAAAGCTACCACTACAAACTGCACAAAACTGTCTAAAAACAGGATTTTAATCATTTCACCGTGCTTTTAATGCTTCGTTCCTTTTTGCATATTTCATCCTAGCTTTATCTCTTGAGTCACAAGAACATTTTTTAGCTTTCTTCCATTAAAATTCAATCTGGACCTTCATGTATTTGTCCTTTATCAAGGTTGACAATTTAAGGTCTCCAACAACCCTGTAGGTTGGTACTATACTATTTCCCTTGAATATTGGGGTTAACTCATATTGAATCATGCCGTTGCCTTTGCTATTTGATGGTCATGACTTTTTCTCTTGGGACTAGTTTTAATAAGTTCTAATTTCTTGGTTTACCTATTTCTTTTTTCTTTTGTTTTTCTTCCTAATTGGGGGTGTGTTTTTGGTCCTTTATTGGTCATCAAATCTTAGGATGTTGCATAATTGGTTTTATTTGGTTCACTATGGGTTTGCCTTAATGTTTTTGTGCATCCTTTTGCTGAAGAATATATAAAATTATTTTTTATCAATAATGGTCTGAAAAGCTTTTATCATAGAAACTACTGGAATTGTTTTGATGATAGTTTTATTTAAAAAGAAGTCTTCATTGTAGATCATTACTTTTCTATTTATGCTGTTCATTTCAGGATGCTTTTGCTTCTGAGAGAAGGAAGGCCAAAATGCTCAACTTTTCCATTGCATATGGAAAAACCCCAGTTGGTCTTGCTCGAGATTGGAAGGTACATTTTCTATAAACTCGGTAAATGGGCAATTCCCAAGATTTTGATTAAATTTAATTAATCGATGTGGTTATGGTTATCTCTATCTATTCTCAGGTTTCTGTTACAGAAGCAAAGGAAACATTAAAGCTCTGGTATAAAGATCGACAGGAAGTTTTACATTGGCAAGAGGAACGTAAGCAGGAAGCAGCCAAGGGGTGTGTGTATACATTGCTAGGACGTTCTCGCCGCTTTCCATCTATGGATCATGCTAGTAATGCTCAATGTGGACATATTGAACGAGCAGCAATCAATACCCCAGTTCAGGTTATTCCCTGTTCCTTCTGGAACCCTAGGTTTCTTGCCAACTACTGCCACTGTCCCCAACTTCTTCGGTTCTTCCTTTGTGCAAGCAAAGGAAATAGGAAATCTCTCTCTCTCTCTCCAACTAATGATCTTCCTAACTTCAACAGGGTAGTGCTGCTGATGTTGCCATGTGTGCCATGTTAGAAATATCAAGGAATGCTCGTCTGAAGGAGCTTGGTTGGAGACTCCTTCTGCAGGTTCGGTTTGTTTCCTCTTTTTAATACTGACACCCCACGTCCCCTCCCCCCTACCAGATGGAGAGAGAGAGCACCATGTTGTCTGTATTATGTGCAACCTTATTAGCTATGGATTTTGGATAACTGGCACCAATTTCAATGTTGCTATTTTACCTAATGAGCCCAACTTATCTGATTGAGATCAATATTTTGAACTTGGTGCTATAGGATCACTAGGATGGATTAAGGTCAACATGGTTCACCAAGTTTTGAATGTTGGTACCTGGACCACCGTAAAAATATACTTTCTTTTTGAAAAGTTCAGCTTGAAATAGATTATCACCATGTAAAAATACTGCATTTATTTGAACAATGAGGAAAAAACAGAATATGATCTGGAATACAAGATATGGGGGGCCCATTCCATACATGGTTCCTTGGGCCCCAGACTGAACACTAAGCACAGAGGGAAGAGTAGAAATACTGAAAGTTGCTAGTTTGAATTTGTTTTTTTGGCAAAACTGACTGGAACTGACATCATTATAAATGTAGGTTCATGATGAAGTCATACTTGAAGGACCAAATGAATCAGCAGAGGAGGCTAGAGCCATTGTTGTTAAGTGCATGTCCAAACCCTTCTATGGCACCAATTTTCTCAAAGTTGACCTATCTGTTGATGCCAAGTGTGCAAGGAATTGGTATGCTGCTAAGTAAAAGTGCTTTGTTGCCCATGCCCTCTTATTCTTCCGGTCTCAGGATGGCATTATCCAAGATTTCCTGCTGCTGCTACTGCTGTAATTTCATCTGATGTTGCTAAGGTATTCTGCAGTGGTGTTGGCGTCTTCGGTCAAACATAAGTTGTTTTTAGTTGCGTGTTAGTCCTGAGGTAGTGGGCATGATGTATTGGGGGTTGGTTGCTGCTTTTATGGCATTTTGTAATTCATGCAGACATGTAGTGAGTTGCCTTTTAATTATTTTGTAAATCTTTTTAGTGAGTGAAGAGAAGGGCGGGGGAGTTGTTACTGTATTATATTGCTTTACGTCAAACGAGGGTCTCCCGCATTTTGTAATTAGCAATATCATCAGACGTTCATAATTTCATGCTGCAGTCTGCAGGTTAGAAAAGTATGGCAGATTGCCCAGTGTACATCTTTCTTTTTATTTGGGTTTGGGAATATTCAGGTAAATGCTTCGGTTTTCAGATAATATGGTTTACAAAATTTTGGTTTCGGTTTCGGTTTCGGTTTTCAGGTTATGAATTCCTTTAAATTATATTATAATATAACCGACTTTTGTTTTGGTAAATCCATAAAAATTCCTTTACATGGAAGTGGAAGCAACGGCAGCTCTATCTAATTTGCAATTTGCATTGGAGGTTGGTTGTGAGTGTGTCTTCTGTTATTATAGAGGGAGATTCTCGTATGGTAATCAAGAGTGTTGGGGGCAAATTTTTCTCCATGGCGCATATGAACTATTATTGCGGATTGCAAGCTCTCATGCTGTCATTTCGGTACCCAGAATGCAATGAAGCTGCTCATGTTTTAGCTAAAAATGAGCAATGTTTTTAAAACCAGACTGGACAAGGAACCATTTTGGGGTCCAGTTTTTGGGTCGAATGGTCTGACAATCCGGTCCAAATGGATGACCTGTTCTGCTAACAATAAAAAATAAAACAAAAAAAAAGGGTAAAAAACTGTTGTCTGATTCCACAGTTCGACCGCTCGGGCCACTTGACCATATCAACAGTTTTTGGCTAAAAAGTAGTTTTGGGGTGAAACGGAATTGCTTGCCTGACCGGTTCCTGATTTTTCTGGTTTGATCATCCGGTCCAGTCCGGTTTGGAAAACACTGAAAAAAGCTCTTCACTACCTAGAATGTTCACTTGGGGTCTGGGCCCTCATTTCTTGTCTGCAACTTTGTTACTTGATTGTACTGGGCAGTCTACGAATGAATTGAGGCCCATGCATGTTGCATAGGAGCCTACTTAGTCATAAAAATATTATTTATATATTATAAAATATAGTATTATATATATTATATAATATATAATAATATGTTAATGTATATTAATATATTAAAGAAATTTAGTTTTAACCAAAATAACCAAAAACGGAACAACAAAATTTGGTTTTAAAAAATTCGATTTATTCGATTAGGTTTTTAATTGAATAAACCGATTGTTCAACCCTAAGAATCATTGATTGTTTTGGTACTTTGAACATATCTTGTTAAGGGTACTTCTAGTTCTAGGGATGCAAACAGATCGGATTGGATTCGAATTAGGGTATATTTGAATTCGATCTAATACTATGTGTTGGATCCAATTGGATCTAATAGGACTCGATCTGAATTTGAATCCTATTAGATCTTTGGATCTGATTTCTTTAAAAATTAATAAATTGTTAAAACAAAAATAAAGTATACCAATTTAAATAAAAACAAAAAATACAAGTATTTTTTAATTATTTTCGTCATATATATACATGTTTTTTATAAAAAAAATAAATATTATAACAAATTTATAAATATACAATATAAATAATAATATATTTATAAATAAATAAATAATATATATATATTATATTTATATTTATAAATATATAATACATCGGATTGGATCTTCTCAAATCAGATAGGGGTGATCCAAATCCGATCCAAAGATCTGACTAGAGGTGATCCGAATTCGACCAAATAAGATCAGATCGAATCCATTTACCCTTAGGTACTTCCTCATATCCCAACTTATTTCATGGAGTGTTTTCACTTGTTTTTTTTTTTTTTTTTTGATCAATAGTGTTTTCACTTGTTAGTTTTAGCCAAGTGTGGTTTATCATATCAGCGAGCCAGCAGGTGGAATATGTACAATATGCTGAGTCCAACTATGGTACCCAATAAAAGCTGAATAACCAATCATCTGGTATTCATTCAAACTCACGTGGATTTATCATTTATGATTGGTTAAAAATTTAGGTATGATACCTTTCAGCTACCATATAAATTGCCAAAACTTGTTCTTGTCGTGCCTAAAGCCCCATCTGATATCATCCCTTAAAAGCTATTTATTTTAATAAAAATAAAGGTTTGATCTCATTATTATTATTTTTTTATCGCTACATTATTGTTCTGCATAAATCAAAAATACTTTATTGTTCCACGGCTTCCGCCAAATCCAGTATGGCTGAACACTTGCAATTCAGATGTTGATCCATTATTAGAAATATAGAAATATGTCAAATCTTAGCGCTCTCTCTCTCTCTCTCTGCGCGTGTACACACGGGTAAATCCCCAAGCACATCAGCATAGCCTTTTAACACTTGAATGTTGAAATCCCAACTGCTAAATCTAGAATAATACCTGATTTATTAGGAAAAATCTTTTCCTGTTCTAATCTAATTCTAATTGAAATAATGATATGTAATGCTTTAAATCCAGTATGTTCATGGATCATCCAAATTACATTTTTTTTGCTAAAATCATCCAAATTACATTTGAAACAGATTAAGTGACTCCAGCCTCCAAGAAGTTTACACCAAAAAAATAAAAAATAAAAATAAAAACAAAGAAATATACAAGTGCCAACATGAGAGATCATATATTAAATCACAGAACTCTACTTGAGCTGTTGCAGATCAATTCCCCAAGCTGAAGCTAACTGTAACATTAGTTGGTCTGGTGTTGCACCTTCCCAGTCCTCGGGTGGGTCCATGGCTGATGACACCTCCTGCAAACTCAGCAAAAGCTCTCTCTTGACTTCCATGGGAATGCCCAAAACATCCGGTCCATTTTCCATCACCAGATCCCTTAACTGCGAAATTCAAATATTCAATGGTTATGTGAAACAGATTATTCTTTTTAGTGCAGTTATATATAAATTGAGAAAAAAATAGAAATACAACCATCAATATATGCATATTTTAGCAAATTAAGAGCATGGATTTGTGCTCCTAAAGAGTATTCATCAAGATAAGTATTAAGAAATCCATTTGTCTGGTATATTCCCTATATTTCTATAATACAAACATATACTTGTAATATGTATGTACCTGAATATTAAAAACAGCAAATTATTAAAAATTGAAAACAAGAGGTATATGGTAAGACATATAAATACATAAATGTATGTATGTATGTATTTCTGAATATTAAAATGGAATGCCCCTTGTCACATAGAGAGCAACCCACGAGACAAAAATAGATACTGCTGAACAGAATCAAAATAAAAGACAAGATTTTTGCAATGTACCATTAGAAATGTTAGTCCCTGATCTCAACTTCACTTGCAAAATTTCTTAGAAACAATGCCAATTTTTTAAATAGAACATGTATTTTATCTTTTATGTTATTCACATGCATCCCATTTCATTAGTTTGATCTCTTATTTTTAACCAGTTGAAAAATACCTCCTGCTTCAAATGAAATTCTACTAAATAAAATGTCATTTTTTTTTCAATCAGCAACTATCCTAAATTAAATAGATATTTAAAATCAATAACTTCTAGACAATCAGCCAAGTCCCAATTAAAGATGGATCAGTTAGCTGTAGCAATTTGTTCTTAATTAATTGAAAGTAAAAAAAAAAAAAAACATAGGTGCTCCTTTGAATTTCAATTTGGTGACATGACAGTCAAAATGGTTATATGAATCAACCAATTTAATAACACTTAAAATTTTAAAATTACACTTCAGTTTTTACCCACTCATTTGCAATCATATATCAGCATCAACATCATACATGCTATGGTATGGCTGAAATGTTGATAAACATCAACAAAAGAAGGTTAAATAACAAAAAGAGCACAAGCTAGTGAACATGGTTTCAAATGTCGCTAATGTCGCCCGACATATGTCGGTGTTGAGGCTCACCAACATGAAAATGGATGGTAATATAAAAATTACATTATTTCGGTATTTTGGAAATGTCGACCAAATCGGTCCAAATAACAAAAAAAAAAAAAACAGTTTTTCCTATTATGTCGACAGGATGTCGACTAATGTACATTAATAATATAATATATTAGTATATTATATTAATATAAATTATTCCATTAATAATTTCTATTTAATATTTCAAATAAA